ATGTGAAGAAGTACTTCCGAACATTTGTTTTAAACCTACTGCCTATTAATTTCATCTAATGACCCCAGTACCATAAGGATGCAAGGGGTCTGTGCTAAAAATGATTTCTAGATACTAAAAAAAGCAAAACTCTAACACCTCAGCTTTATTAACAACCTCATAACCATTTTGCAAGAGTAGCACTGGTAACCTTAATGTCAAGGGAAGTGATTACCACTTCCAAGCCCATCCTACAAGGCCACACTACCTCTCAGCAAGAAGTGTTATAGTAGTTCAACGTCTAATCATTGTTCAAGCAGTAGATACAACATGTAAGTACATCCTAACAAACGATTTGTAGCATGGGGTACTGAACTGCATGACTGAGGAAGCTATCCAAAAGAGTAAATACTAAATGAAGGAGTATGCTTACTGGATGTTGGGTCATTTGGCTCTGTTGTGCATAATTCTTCCCCGCTCTAATACATGGTGCTGGAACATTTTAAAAAGTAGGGGTGCTAAAAGACAGCCCCTTGCCCATTTCCTCTGCCCTAGAGCTGAGACTGGGAGCCCAGATATTTGGTGCCAGCAGCTGGGACTCCAGACACACAGGGCTGGCAGCTAGGATTCTGGATGTGCAGGGCTAGCAGCCAGGACCCTAAGGGTATGGGGTGGCAACTAGGTGAATGGGGTACTGCAGCACTCCCTGCACCCACGGTTCTCATGCCTATGGTTGCAATGTAAAACAGGTGTTTTCAAATTTACAAAGCAGCAGTTCTAGCTGGTGAGCTAAAGGAGAATCTCCATTACCTGTCAACAATACCAACAGCAACAGCAATATTCAAAACCTATGCTTATTGTGCTAAAATATTATTTTTCATATTGTAGTAGTATCTAGGATCTTCATAATCTGGACTTCATTGGGTTAGGCACTGCACAAACACAGAACAAAAAGATGAGGCTTGTTTCACTGTAAGTTCATCCCCAACCTCCCATTACCCCACAGTTTGTTTTGTCTACATGTTTTAACCTGCAATGTAGGCTCTTTGGGGCAGCACCTGTGCTTTTAATATATTTGTGCCATGTCTAAAACAGTGGGGCCTGGCTCTGCATTAGAATTATGAAGCACCGTCTTAATACAAATTGTACAGGAATGCATGTACACACACAAAATGCTAAAAGAATGTTAAGGTTTCATAGTCAAGCTCTCAAAAGTTAAAAAATGACAGAATTAAGGTTGTCTGGGCAACCTTTGTTCCTCCCCTTCTATCTCTGCGTTGTGATACTGTCATTAATAACATGAACAAATACTGTTTTTTCCAGAGGACCCTGACCTCATCCAATGCGCAAGATGCTCATTTAATGACCAGTTACTCAATATTTTGTTCACTGTGTGATCCCAAGTTTTATTTCAGGGGTGATCAATATTTTTGGTTTATTGGACACATTTGGGTATGGAAATTATATGGAGGACCATGAATTCTCATGAATTTAACAATTCAGAGATATTCAGATAAACTATTTAATAAAGTGAAAATAAACATCAAATCTTACATACTATTATAAACATGCCATCATCAGAACATATAAAAAATATAAAAAAATATACCAAACTAACCCCTTTCCACACTCTCTTTGGATATGTCTACACTACCACCTCCCTTTCCACACACTCTTTGGATATGTCTACACTCCCACCCTAGTTCGAACTAGGGTGGTAATGTAGGCAACCGGAGTTGCAAATGAAGCCCGGGATTTGAATTTCCCGGGCTTCATTTGCATATTGCCGGGTGCCGCCATTTTTAAATGTCCGCTAGTGCGGACTCCGTGCCCCGCGGCTACACGCAGCATGGACTACGTAGTTCGGATTAGGCTTCCTATTCCGAACTACCGTTACTCCTCGTGATTAATGCTTTACAAGATTGCACACACTATGAAAAAAGTGTTCCCTCTCTGTAGCCTGCATGTGTTAGGCATCATGACAATTTTGAGCCATGGTACACTAGCCCAGAACCAATGTGGACAAGAAGAGGCAGAGACAAGTGTAAACTCACCTGTAGCTTTATGCATTCCCCTCCCCCCAAAAATGTTGTATTTGAAACACCACGGTGAAGTTACACCTGTGTAGTGTGAACATGTAAGAACATGTAGTTTTAAAAGGCTTATGATTTGGCTAAATTTGGTTAGATTGTCTCAAGAACAGCAACAGGCACATCCTTGGCACGGGGCAATCTTTTTCCTAAGCAGAGAGGTGCTCAAACTGATCAATTCTTGGAAATTGAAATATTTTTTAGACACATCCAGATGGGAAAAATTAAGGAATGCTGTTATCTATTGTTTTAAACATGGTTTTGAAATGCTAAACAGTTAGGATCAGAAAAAATCTAGAAATGTGCTGGGTAACTCTTTCAAGGATCTCAAAATCTGTTCCCTCTCCTTTTCCTCATTTCTAGAGGAAAGAATGTAACAATATGTTTCCCACTCCTGAAACTGAACAATAATAATTTTATCAAAAAACAAATAATGATTAAATGGTGTGAAATATTCCATTACACATTCTCAGAAAGTAGGAAGAGAAAATTCTGAAACCCAATAAACAGCGCATAAGTTCACTCTTGCATACCTTATTCTCTTCTCACATGAATAGACCTTTTGGGCCTAACCTCTAGGACCTTCCTCAGTTTTTGATCAGCACTCATTTGCAGGAATGGCTCTTGTGCTTGCAATACTATATGCCAAAACAATCGGACCAAATAGTTTCAAACTTGGAGATTTTCAAACTTCAAGGCAGAGATTAACTATGCTAAATTTCTCCATGGAATTTTTCCCCAAAATGATATAAGATGGAAAAGGAGGGTCAGAAAAACCTAAGAATGGACATGTTGGGTTAAACCAATGGGCCGTCTAGCACAGTGTCCTGTCTTCTGACAGTGGCCAATGCTAGGTTCTTCAGAGGGAATGAACATAATAGGGAAGTTACTAGGTAATTTATCTCCAGTTATCCAATCCCAGGTTCTGATTTCTATTGGAAGTGTCATTCTCTCCTAACAACAGTAGTAATAATATGTCTCTATAGTACATATATTTAACAGATGTGTCCAAAAATCATTGCCAGCTACTGATAAAAGTCATATTCTACAGCAATAGTACTTGGTAATTGGAACTATGGTTAGGTGGATTGCAGAGTTGTATTTCAAGATTATGACCTCATACCTGTAAAACACAGTATAGCTATTCAACTACAGTAGAGCAGCTTTGAAATATGACTATTTAAAAAAATGTATAAAAACAACAGCACTTTCTGCTTATACTAACTATTTACAGTCCTATCACTTTAAAAGTCTGCCAGATTCATGTTTTCTAAACACCACTTGCACTCAACAACTTCTCCAGCAGTGTAAATCCCCATGGACAATTTTTGAAGTTTTAAGTGTGCTTTTTTTGTTGGAAAAGCAGGTTTTTTACATTGCCAAAAACTCTCAAGAAATTGCTCTGGGGACATGCTCTTTTTCCCAGCTGCAAATTGAAGGTGGAGGCTGCTTCGAAGCTGGAGAAGCAAAAATCTTTGAGTGCCATAAATGCAAAATCAATATTTTCTGAGACTTTTTTGGAACACTGAAGGAACATTTTCAGTTAATATTTTGTGACGTCACAAGCACTTCAAGGTCTCTGTATTTGTTTCTGCTTTGCTCTGCCTTCCCCTCTCATTACAGACACCTTTTTAGCTCCTTCAGTTCCTTCTTCTTTTGCTTTTGCTCTCTTGGTTTTTTCTGCCTCTGTCCCATTTTCTTACTTGTCCCTCTTCTACCTCTCCTGCAAATTCTCTCCACTTCACCACTCAATTCTTCTTCCCTCAATCCCACGAATCACCATTCTTCTCTTGGGCTGTGTCTACACTGGGCCACTTACTCCGGAAAAGCAGACGCTTTTCCGGAATAAGCTGCGAGCTGTCTACACTGGCCCCTTGAATTTCCGGAAAAGCACTGACTATTTACTGTAAGAAATCAGCTGCTTTTCCGGAAAAACTATGCTGCTCCTGCTCGGGCAAAAGTCCTTTTTCCGGAAAACTGTTCCGGAAAAGGGCCAGTGTAGACAGCACAGTAGTGTTTTCCGCAAAAAAGCCCCAATCGCGAAAATGACAATCGGGGCTTTTTTCCGGAAAAGCGCATCTACATTGGCCACGGACGCTTTTCCGGAAAAAGGGCTTTTCCAGAAAAGCATCCTGCCAATGTAGACGCTCTTTTTCCGGAAATACTTATAACAGAAAACTGTTCCGTTTTAAGCATTTCCGGAAAAAGGTGGCAGTGTAGACACAGCCTTGCTGATTTGTTGCATGTGCAAATGAAGCAGCTATGTGGAATTCATAAGATCTATGGTGTAAAGTCCCTCTACTTTGTCCCATGTGCCTGGATAAAGACATTGTCTGCCATTCTCTGGCAAGTGTGTTGGGAGCTGCTTATTTTATTTTAAGGTCTGGTATCCTTTTATCATTTGGGAACAGACTTCTAACTGTAAGAAATCCATAAGAAATACTTCTTAAGTGAAAAGGAAGAGACATGTCCTCTAGCTTTAGAGAGCCTTACCTTTAAACACATACAGTAGGAAAGCTATTGGGACACTTTCATGTCTGTCATCTGTATGGGAAGGATTTTCAAAATCATTTAAATGATGTAGGTGCACAAGTGCCAACCCATCCTGTGTCTTTATATCTGAAAATTATTACCCAGCGTGCATGCATGTGTGCCTACTTATACAGCATTACTGCCCTGTAAAGTGAAAGTTACCACTAGTAGATAATAAAATGCCTCAACATTTTCTACTTTTTATTTTCGCAAGCAAGAAATATTTGGTACTATAAATTTAGTTCCAGTCAAAAAGATAGATACTACAGACACACCAAAATCTAAAGAGAAACACTCGTGTGTATATCTGCATCCATATTCATTATCTAGGGGTAATACAGGTGGATACACAGAAAATGCTGTAATAAAAAAGTAATTAATACTTTGAAGAATTTTTACCTTATTGCGCTTGCAGATAAATGGCCGTAGGAACCACTAGCTGAAGAACTGCTACGAGAATTATTGAGAATTGTGACCAAGGAGTTTGGAGATGTCCGTATCATGGTCTGAAGGTCAAAGCTGTGGTCAGACAGGGGTGATATGGACAGGGTACGTTTTCGACTTGGCCTAGATGACAGCCTTGGACTCGGAAACCTGGCACCTGTTACGCAAACAAAAATAATTATCTACCAAAGTGCTCTACCCTGTTTATTTATTACTAGTGGTGATGAAA